CCAGGGTGATCCCAAGTAAAACCACTTCCTGCTGGCTTTATTTTAGCTCTTTAAGGGATGTGGCTGGGTCTTGGGGAGACTGGTGCTTCATCCCTTCTCTGCCCCCACAACCCCCTATGGGATCTTTGAGCCTCACTTCCTTCTCTTGTCAAACAGGGAGCACAGTTCCCCCCACCTCTATATCCTGTTCTGTCCCCTTCCCCTAATGTAAAGGGGTCTCCAAGAGATAAAAGCACCTACAAATCAGGCTCAGCCCTGGAAAGTCTTAAGGCACCCCCCCTTCACCCCACACCTCACTGGGGAGACCATGAGTGCTGAGGTGGCACCCATACCCTCTTGGGCACGTCCTCGGGGCAGAGTGGGGAAGCTCCGGATAGCCCCTGACACAACCCCTCCCCCGCCCCAGCTTCCTTCCTTCCTCCTAGCCAGGCACCTAGTTTTGGTTCCCAGTAAGCGGATGAGGCGGGGAAGCCTCCCACTTCCTGTTATTAAAGCGAGCCCGGCCCAGCTGACACCAAAACGCCCTCCACTGGACACAGCTGCCAGTGGGAAAACGCTGCCCGGAGGCTGGGCAGAACCCTGGTCACCAGCCTCAGAAAGTCCAGGGTTTACATTCACCCCCTCATCCCGTATCCCCTTCCTGAATCCCGGGGATGGCCGAGCCAGGGACGGTGACCTGTCGACTGATAGCTTCCAGCTGGCCAAGGAGGAAGCGGGCAGGGAGGTCAGAGATAAGGAGCCCGAGTCAGCCGAGGCTGCGGATGCAGGGGCTCAGAGGGCGCCGAGCCAGATGGCAGAGCACAGTGCTCTGGGGGAGGCCTTCCCCTGCCTCCCCTCACCGCCTGGATACCAAGCCAGCCCCACAGGCTGCCGGGAACATCTGAGGCCACCCCGAGGCTCTCTGGGTCAGCACGTCCCAAGAGCTGCCAGGTTGGGGTAGGCCTCTGGCTCCAGACTACCCTTCAGCCCCCTGAGCCCAAAGAGGCCCCGTGACAGCCCATCCTCAAGAAACATCTGCTGAGATGTGACACAGGGCCAGTGAGACCCGTGGGAGGTCTGAGAGCTGGGACGTTTGAGCGTGCTGAGCCCCAAACAGCACAGCCAGAAAACCCAAGGTGTCTGGACAGCAGAGTCCATGCTGCCCCAGCAGCTGTGGAGAGTCCAGGGATCAGGGGACCGCTCGGCCCCGAGGGCCTCACAGTGGTGACGCACAGTGGGCCCCGGTACACCCATTGGCACAGGCTGGCACACGCAGGGCTCCACACAAGCCTTGACAGGCCCACAGGTACCCAAGCCAGGCACGGTGACACCCAGAGCCCCACACATCCTGACACGCACACCTGCCCCAGCGCAGGAGCTCTTACCAATGAAGCTGATGGCCTCGGGGAAGAACTGGGAGAGGTTCTGGCTCCAGTGGTCAGAGATGGGGATCTGTTTGTAGGTGAACTCGCCCCCGTGCTCAAAGGCGTTGGGCAGGTTGGGTGTGACGTTGAGGATATACTTGATGCCGTACTTGCCGAGCACATCCAGGTTGGTGGAGTCCTTGGCGCAGCCGAGGTAGAGGTAGGGCAAGATCTGAACAGGGAAGGCCGGCTGGCTGGACGGCACGGGGCTGCCGTCTGACTCGGTGGCACTGCTGGGCAGCTCCCGGTCGGACTCCCCATCCGAGCAGTCAGAGCTGATGCGCAGACCCCCCAGGCCCAGCACAGAGGCGGGGGGGGAGCCGCTCGGCGAGGACGAGCTGTCCACGTTGGTCTCGCAGTGCTCCGAGTACTCTGTCTGGAACTTGTTGAAACCACCTGTGGCCCCCCGGGGGGGGGGAGGGTTGGACAGGGCCCGTGTGAGGCTGACAGTACCACTGGCCCGGTGTCCCCAAACAGGGCTCCTCACAGCAAGGACCACACCATCACCAATGGACAACACAGGCAGTGCTAAGTATTTACACGTGTACCCTCTCTCCTGCTTTCTCCTCATCTGTCCTGTGGCCCACTCTACAGATGGGGAAAACTGAGACCCCAGGTGGTAAAGAAACATGTCTGAGCACCCATAGGGCTTCAGGGCCCCAGCCACACCACTGACTTTAGGGCACTCAAGGACAGAGTCCAGCCTATGTCTCCTCCACAGCTCCCCTGTTCCAGGCACCCATGGGTGCTCAGTAATTGCTAAGCAGTAAAGGAAAGCAAACAACCCCATCTCAGGCCAATACCTCTGGGTTTGCAAACCCTCTTACAGAAGAGATCACAGGCCAGAGCTGCATCTGGGTCAGCTCGAGGCAGAGGGCCTGGGCCCTAGACTGGGAATCCGGCGCTTGCCCCTACTCCCCACCACTGCCAGGGAGGGTAGTGAAGGTATCCGCTGGTCCTGTCCCCCCAGCAGGAGCAAGTTCATAAAAGGGGTCCTGGCTCCTCTTCTCCATAACCCACCTTAGAACTCAAGGTACCCCCAACCTGGCCTTGGACCCACAGAAAGGGAGGCTGCTGGGGGCTTTACAGGGACAAGAAATGGGGAGCGCGCTGCAGCTAAGCATGGCCCTGCGCCCGAGGGTGCCGCAGGCCTCCCCTCCCCTCCCGTCTGCCCGCCCCGCTGCCAGCAAGAGGCCATTTTGGAATGTTAATTGGAAACACCGGCTGCAGTCACTCGCCTCCCAGGGCTGCCTCCCCCTTCCACCACCTCTGGAGTGGCTGGCTAAGGGACTTGGGGGTCTCGGAAAACCAGAGCTGGGGCAAGCGACACTCCTTACAGACCTGCCCCAAGCGCTTCCAAGAGGCGGTGATTCCCCAATGACAAGCCCCACAGGGGGATGCCCGGAGTCCCCCAACCCAAACTCTCCCTCTGCCCTGGCAAGGGCGAGGGTGGTGATTAAAGACTCCTGTCCTAACCCTGGCCTTCCAGGGACACCCATTCCAGACTGGAGGAGCTGAACTGGTGCCCAGGAGGGGACTCTCCTTCCTTTGCTGGGCTCCAGGGAAACCTGGGAGCTACCATGGCCCCAACAATGGGGGAAAAAGAAAGCCCAAGTGCGGAAAAGTTTGTACAGCCCACTCAGATCATGCCTGGAAAGGGGTGTACAGGGGGCCACTGTACCAGCCTACACCCGCACAGCTTGGGCTGGAGCCCTGGAGAGGAGGATGCAGGCGGGGGAGACGTGGCGCCGGCTGGACAGGCCGGGCACGGGGAGAGAAAGCCGCCTCCGTCGGGGGCATCCGGGAGCCACGGGAGAGCCCCAATTCCAGACTGGGTCTTGCTGCCGCCCTTACCTTGGAGGTAGTAGGCCTGGCAGCCGTCGTCGCGCAGCTTTTGCAGGAGAAGGCCAAGCACCGAGGCGGGAGCGCCGGGCTCTGGCTGCCATTCGGCCGTGGCCTCGTCGTAGAGCAGCACGGTGGCCGCCTTGCAGCGCGTAGCGAAACGCTCCTTGTCGGCGTGGTTGGGGATGATGGAGCGGATGGGCAGGTTGCCTTTGCGGAGGCGGCGCAGCATGAGGCCCGGGATGGCCAGGTTGATGGCCGTCTCAATGTGTGACGACTCGAAGAGCTCGTGCGGCCGGCAGTCGAGCAGCAGCAGGGACGCGCCGCCGCGCGCCTCCAGCTCCTCCTGCAGCCACTCGGCGCTCTTGCAGGGCATGGCCCCTGCGCCCGCCGCCGCGCCTGCCCCGGTGCCGGCGCCAGATCCAGACCCCGCACCGGGCTCCGACCCCGCCCCGGTGTCCCCAGCCGCCGACGCCCCCGAGGCCGACATGTGCGCCCGCGCTGGGGGGCCGCGGAGCTGGTTTTTCATGGGGAGCGCGGGCGGCCCGGGGCCGGGGCCGGGCAGCCCTGCCCTGGGACGGCGCCCCGGCCGCGTCTCCGGGCGCCCGCCTCCCGCCGAGCTGCACGCCCGCCGCCCCGGCCTCCCGGCCTCCGTCCCGCCCGGCCCTCCGCCCGCGCCGCGGCCTGACAGCCCCAATTAAACAGCGTCTCAGGCGGCCGCGCGCCTAGGCGTCCTCGAGGGGGCGGGGCCGCGCCGCGGCTCCCGAGCTTAAAGGCGCCGCGGCTCCGCCGCCCCTCCCCACGGGGTATGCGGGCACGCGAACGGTCCCCTAAGCCCGGAGACCAGCCCCCCCCCCGGCCTTCGCTCGGCCTCAGCGCTGCCGCCAGAACCCACTACAACTCTCCCAGGGGCCCGACCAAGACACTCCTGGGTCCCTATCCCGGAGCTCCCAGTTCTGTGCCTGTCTCAAGAGCTGTCTGTCCTCGGGGGTTCCCGCTCCAGGGATCCTCTCTCCTACATTCCCGAAATCTCCCGGGGATGGAGCGGAGAAAAGGGGCGATGTAGCTGAGCCGAAGTCGTGTCCACTCCACTAATTCATGAACACCTCCCAGCGAGTTCAGCAAACGGGAACTGAACACCTTCTCCATGCCATTCCCAGGGCGCCTAGGCGGTCACCGTTTCAGGTGGCTGCACAGTCCCAAAGAGGGCTCTGCGTTTGGAGACCTGAGGGGTCGTCTCACTCTAGCAGGCCCGAGAGGGAAAGCAGAACTAGGCAGCTGCGAAGGTAGGAAGGCCCAGGGCCGTGCCACCCTCCGCGGGCTAGGTTGTAGAAATCCCCAAAAGGACCGGCCCTGGGAAGAGACAGCGGGACCTTTAAGAAAGCTTTACAAGCGGAGTGGTGACAGGCGCGGAGTGAAGCGCCACGTGACTTTTCCACAGGCCTAGGGTGGGAGGGAGGGGGCCCCCTCTGTAATCTGCTCTCCTCCTCCCACCTTTCCTAACTCACGAATCAACTTTAACGATAGGCGGGACGCACCACGCAGAGCGCCAATCGCAGCCTAAGGAGCGGGGCAGAGGGAAGGCGGGGCCCGCCAAAAGTTCCACCCAGCGCGGGCTGGGCGGGGCCTCAGCCACAGTGGCTGCGGGTGGCAGGCCGGCTGGCTCGGCGGAGGAGGTGAATGGAGCCGCAGGTAGCCCTGGAACAAAGCGGCTCCACTAGAGCGGCGCGCGTGCGCGGGGCCTGCCGCGCTTTCCCTACGGAGTCAGGGCAGTCTGCGCCGGGGAGGGAGTTCCTGACTGATGTTGCAGCCCGTCCGGTCCGTTCCCTTCCCGGCGGAGTGCGGCCACCTCCTTGGGGTTACACCCTCCCACTCTGCCCGAGGCTGGGGGGCTCCCCGCCACCCTGCTTCTACATCCAGGAGAGAGTTAGGGTCAGAGATGAACGGCGGTAGTGCCTGAGATTTGCCGGAGTGCGTGCCTCTGGAACCCGCAGGATTTGAGCTTTCCGACCACGTAGAGGAGCGGCCCTGCAGCATTCCCAGCTACCCACCTCCCCACTAACGCTCTTTTGTCCTCGCGAAGGAGAGTCTACCTGAAGGTTTCATCCCAACTGCACAGCTGTGTCACGGAGGAGCAGGGATCTCTTCCACGGTTACGCTTCCGAAAAGACCAGAGTCTTGCATTCATAGATGGTCTTATCACCTGAGATTCTAGGCCCAGAGAGGTGATAGGAAAAGCAGGTCTTTGGCCTCCCACGCAGACTTGTCCTAGGGTTGCTGGGCAGTGCCTTCTTGTCTGGGGATCTGGAACGCGTGGAAAGGGCTCGCAGAGCCTGAGGGGCTCAGATGCACACTCTACTCTGTTACTTGCTGATACATTGTGATAGTTCTCACCTCTCTGGGCCTCAGGTCTCCCCCATGTGGGAGGGTGCTGGGCCCGACAGTGAGGAGGTAGTAGTCCAGGTGCTGGTCGGCAGGGATGGAGACAGCACTCAAAGGAGAGTCCTGGTATTGACTCCTCTGCGCTTCCAATGAAGGGGCCACAGATGCCACCCCTTTGTCAGGGAACTAAGATCCCACATGCTGGGCTGTGCAGCCAAGTAATAAAAAAGAGAGGTCTGAGCAGACACACATGGGAGAGGACCTCCTCGCCAATGAGTCATTCCTCGGTGGGCTTGTTGGAGTGTGGACTACAGCAGTGTTCTCATTAGTGGAGGCCCAGTGGAGAGGGGACTCTGTGCCCCTCCCAGGAGAGGGAAAGAGCCCCACCTTCCCACAATTAGCTAGTGATGGCTCCCTATTCTCCCTCCCACTCTGGACTCCTCTCAGGGACAGCCACCCTCGAGGAGAGGCCTGTGAGGATGTGTGGAACTGCTAAGACCCTGGGGGTGGGGGCATCCTCCTGTAGTAGAGGACAAGGGACAGCATCTGGGGGGTGGGGGTGGGGTGGCGGTGACAGTGGAAGCAAAGGAGTGAAAGAAAATTAGCCTGGTCATCCGACATGCAGCATGGTCCTGGGCCCCCATCACCCTGGCTGGAGAGGAGCCCAAAGCCTTGGTTCCTGAGTGGAAGCCCTGCCTCCAGCCTTGAACAGCTGGACACAATGCATAAAGTGATCCCAGCAGGGCTGCCCCTGGGTGTTGGGGGAAGGGGCAGTGGACAGACACAGAACCCTCTGATGTACATACACAGCTCAGAGCCTGACCGGAACTTGCTTAGGGTCAGACAGCAGATGCCAGAGCTGCCCCTGCCCAGGGCCTTGCTCTGCAACTGTGAGCCTCTCAGGGATCCTGGAAGAGGGGACTGGGTGGCCTGGGCCAGGCTTTGGGATCAAAGGCATTCCTCCTCTTCAGGAATGTGGCCTTTCCCGCCCTTCCAGGTTCAGATCCTTCCTCACCTGCAGCCCCTGGAAGAGGTGCCCCACTCACTAGGGTCTCCTTGAAGGGCAGGGTGGGTCCCTGGCGGTGAGTGGGGAGCTGTGGGTGGGGTATGGAGTTGTCTGCAGAACAGACCCCTCTCCCACACGCCTCAGGCCTTTGCACACACTTTCCTCAGCCTGGACCTTTTTTTGCACTCACCCTTTGTCCATCTTCTGGAAAAATATCCCAGCTTCTAGAGTCTCTAGGCTAGGTGATCCCAGGACCCTGCCCCCGTCTTTGCTCTGGACTCTATCACAGTCATAGTTACAGCACCCCACCCCCACCCCAAACTCTCCCTTTGTATGTCCAGTGGGCTGTCTCCCTTCCCCAAGTCCACTCCTCCTCCTGCCACCTCTGTCTCATCCCTCATCCCTTAGTTGCCAGGCCTGAACCCAATAGACACATTTGGAGTCATCTGCCCTGTCTGCACACATTCAGCCCCAGAACCACAAGGTGGAAGAGCCTTCCCAGGGGGCAAAGCTTGATTGTGACAGCGGGAGCTCTGATGTGAACTGAATAGAACTGGTGTGCACCACCCCAGCCGCCCCCCACCCCATGTCCATGTGTCATGGTGACCCAGGAACTGTGTCACTAAGGAGAAGCATCTTGGAAGCAAATTTTCCTTTCCCCACTGGTGCCCCTGGATTTCTTAGAGATGAGCCACCATGTTTTCAGTGACTTGGGCAGGAGCGGGAGAGGGTTGTCCATTCCTTGCCCTCATATCCTCGCACAGATTTGGGGTGAGCTCCTGCTTGCTTCCACAAAGGCAGATTTTTCCCACTGTGAGAGCTGAGCAGAGGCAGGGGTGGGGCACTCCAGTCCAGGATGCCTGCTCTGGTGACAGAGCTGGTCTCTACCCAGGACCACTCCACAGGCTGGAGGAGATGTGCCATCCAGAGCCCTGCCTAAGACCCAGACTAGGAGTCTTTCTGCTTGCCCCTGAACCTTGGGATGGCTTCTCCCACATACCTTGTTGAGGTGCCTGCCTGGGTTGCAGTCAGAACAGGTAGTGTCTAAGCCAGGCCAGGAGTGGACTGTGAAAGGCCTGGCAACTCTCCTGTCCTGGATAGAACTCCTGGCTGTTTACATCTGTGTGTGTGCACGTACAGACACACACATTCTTAAGGACACATAATACAGGCCCAAACACACAGATCTATGTGTTCACACATACATGCTCATAGGCACAGATGTGTGTGTGTGTGCAGAAAGACACAGAACACCAATCCCTGGTGATCCAGTGCAGGGGACAAGGATTTGATCCCTGGTGGGGCAACTAAGATTCCACAGGCCTCGGAGCAACTAAGCCTGTGAGCCACAACTACACAGTCCACGTGCCACAACTGAGACCTAGTATGATCAAAAACAAAATGATTTTTAAAAAATACACAAATACAATAACTGGTTGGGGTTGGAGCCAGACCCTTAGGTAAGGCATTCCCTTCCTAGGCCTAGGTTTCCTCATCTGTAAGATGGACAGACAAGCCCTGCTTTGCTCACCTCACTGGGGAACCTGGGGTGGTGCAGGGCCGAGGAGGTGAGCGCCACACTGGCGTGAGGGCAAGCAGGGTACAGCCTTTGTGCTGGGACCAGGCCTGGTGCACATCAGTCCCAGGTCAGCCAGCCGTGAGCAGGGCTTGGAATGTTCAACTTGTCTACGTGGACAAGCCCAGTGGGCCTCCCCACTTCTTGAGGGGAACCGCAGGCCTGAGAGAGCTTGGAACAGAGGGCAGGTGGGGTCATGAAAAAGGCCTGGCAAAGGCCTGGCTGGGCCCAGGTCTGGGTGACCTCATGGGGACTCTGGTGGTGCAAGGAGGGTCGCAGAGGCAGGATACCCAGCCCTGCTGTACCCCAACTCCAGCAAGCTCAACCGCCCACAAGTAGGTAGAGAGTGGAAATGCACTCTCGTGCAGAAATGTCCAATACACATGTGCACATACTCTCTGTGATATGTAGACAGAGTATGTCTGGGCACTTGCCACCCAGTTAAGAGGGGTGCCCACAGACAGAGAACCCAGAGAGGTTGTTAGAGGCTGGTGGAATCCACAGTCACCTGGGCCCACCCTTTCCTACTGGCCCAGGTTGGGGTGTTCTGGGCTGACTAGTTCTGGATGGAGTGGAAGGGTCTATCCCTGCCTGCCTCCCAGTGGGGAATGCCAGGCCCCGGTGATGGTGATCTCAGAGTTGTACGGACAGGCTGCTGCGGAGAGTGGCTCACACCAGGGAGAACCAGAGGACAAAAGCCAACAGGATGGAAGCCAGGGCAGAGCTCTGGGAACTCCCCAGGGAGCCTGGAGAAGGCAGAGGTGGGGAGCCTCTCTTCCCATTCGGGCTCCTTTTCTGAGCACCTGCCCTGGACAAGGGAGCGTGGGAACCTCAGAGGGAGACTAGACGATGTCATCCTGTCTCTCCCGGCTGCCCACCTAGCAGCAACTGCAGGCCCTTGGCCAGCCTCCCCGGGTGCATTCCCGGGGCTATTCATTTGAAAGTGTGGCTTTCCTGGCCACACACCAGCCCACAGGGTCAGCCCGCGTGTGGACGACTCACCGCTCAGCCATGATTCTTCCCGGGCAGGCATTACTGGTCAATCAGCACTTGACGAACCATCCTCAGGCCTCAAAACCAGTTGATTACCTGCGGTAGTCAAGGGAAATAAAACCTATTTGCTGAATTCCCAATTCATAGCCGGACCAGCTCTGCCTCTCTGTCCCCACCCCCAGCTCACTTCACCCTAACCTCCTCCTGCTTCCTCCTCGGTGCCCCAGACACAGCACCCCTGCCTCCACACACTTCCTTATTCCACACCCCACCCTCCCGAAATTATCTCCAGCCTCGGAAGAGCCACGGCCTCAGGAAGCCTGTGCTGCTTAACCTCAGCAGACTCTGCCCCTGCTCCCAATCCTTCCCTGCAGGGCCCAGCATTTCCACTCTCTACCTACTTGTGGACGGTTGAGCTTGCTGGAGTTGGGGTACAGCAGGGCTGGGTATCCTGCCTCTGCGACCTCCCCTGTGTGAGCCTCCTTGCACCACCAGAGTCCCCATGAGGTCACCCAGACCTGGGCCCAGCCAGGCCTTTGCCAGGCCTTTTTCATGACCCCACCTGCCCTCTGTTCCAAGCTCTCTCAGGCCTGCGGTTCCCCTCAAGAAGTGGGGAGGCCCACTGGGCTTGTCCACGTAGACAAGTTGAACATTCCAAGCCCTGCTCACGGCTGGCTGACCTGGGACTGATGTGCACCAGGCCTGGTCCCAGCACAAAGGCTGTACCCTGCTTGCCCTCACGCCAGTGTGGCGCTCACCTCCTCGGCCCTGCACCACCCCAGGTTCCCCAGTGAGGTGAGCAAAGCAGGGCTTGTCTGTCCATCTTACAGATGAGGAAACCTAGGCCTAGGAAGGGAATGCCTTACCTAAGGGTCTGGCTCTAACCCCAACCAGTTAACTCACTTACCCACGGCGCCTGCAGTGAGTCATGGTGGCCCAGGTGATGGAAAGGAAACAAACACAGGCAAGTGGGAAGGGCAGATATGCCTGCCTGGGGCTCCCACACACAGGCCCCTGTCGTCTCCCTGATCAGGGGCCTGCCTGATATTCTCAAGGCTTGTTTCCTTATGGTCTCATGTCCAAGCTTTGCACCAACCCTGGGAGGGCTGTCAACTCTTTTGACCAGTGGGGCAATGAAGGGCCATGGTTACAGCCCCAGCTGGGCAGGGGGCTGGGCCCCAGACTAAGAACCAGAGCTCCCTTCCCCCAGTCCAGCGGTGCCCAGGTGGCTCTGAGCGTGGGAGCCCCTTGCTCTACCAGCTCTTTCCTGTCATTGGAATGGCAGCGGGCCCTCACTGGCAGGGTGGGGGGAAGACTTGGGGCATGAGCGAGGAGAGGGTATGTGTGCCATCCAGTGCTCGCTTCTGCGGCTAATTCTTCCCACAACCCAGAATCTGTCCACTGTGGCTCCACAGTCCAGGCTCTGCCCTCTCCCCGGATCATTTCACTAGCCTCCTTCCCCGCCCCCTGCTCCATCCCCATAGCCCATTCCCCACCCAGCGGCCAGAGGGATCTTCTGAGGAGACTGGGTCCTTCCCTGCTCTGAACCGTCCCACGTCCCAGTGGGACAGTGGCACAGACCAGTGTGGCCTCAGTGATCTGGCGTGGCCCCTCTCCCACCTCCCCTCAGGGTCTAGGATCCTCTGCCCTGCACGCCTCTCTCCCCCCAGCCCAGGCCCCTGCAGGGCCTTAGCACTCACTGGTCTGACTGACTGCATGCTTATTCTCCCCCTGCCCCTGCCTGGTCTCCAGAGCCAGAGTCAGCACTGGAGGTGGCTGTGTCAGAATAGGGATCCGACTTCCTTTTGGACTCGGGTCATCAGCCATGAGCACGGTCCTGTGATTTAAAATGCCTCTGGCCTTTCTCTGCCACACTGGAGGATCCCAGAAACCTCTCACTTCCATATCTCACTTGGGCCTCAGCCTGTCCTGCATGGGCTGCCCGGAGTCAATGTCTCCTTACCATTATGGGGTGGCTCCTGCTCCCACTGAGTCTGGCAGGCTGTCCTCAGGCTGGTGGCTTCAGACTCCCTGTTTGAGAGCGCGCGCCACCCCGACCTGGGGCATCTCATCCTCCCTCTGTAGACTGAGCCCAAACTCCCACTCCCGGTGGACCCAGGGGGTCCCTTAAGTCCCAAGTCTGGGTCCCAATCCTGCACACCACCATTCGCGAGCCTGGAAGAAGGGCTGGACTGCGTGGGGAAGCCCCATATGTTGAAACTGAGGTCACCCCTAGAGGGCCAGGAGAAACAGCTCAACAGCCCCAAGAAAGCAGCAGCCAGCTCCGATTTCCTTGCAGCTTAGAGGAAGGTGGAGGAGAAGGAAAGGGCTCAGCGGGTCCCCTGCCCTGAAGCTGTGGGTGAAGGCGAGCCCTCTGCTCTCACACACCCCTCCCCAGAACCTCTGCAGTGGGCTGACCTCCCCCTTCAGTTCTATGACACTTCAGGGTTCTGGGCAGCACCTCATGAGCCCATCTGGGGCTCAGGGATGGAAGCCAGGGCTCTGGGGGTGCAGCAGCCACCCTGTCACCATTGGCCTCCAGCTTGACACCTCTGATCCTTTGAGGCCACCTCTGCAAGGAAGGGCCTGGAGCTCCAGTGGTTTGTTGGGGCGAGGGGTGGGGCTGGGGGGGGGGGTGGCCGGAGGGTGCCTCTGGCAGGCATTCCCAGCCAGAGCAAAGGCGAGGAGCAGTGATGGAGTCTGGGGTGGTGCCCTCGTCTTGTCTTGCCCAAACCAGCTGTGGTTTTTCGAGTAGGCTAGCTAGCAGTGGCAGGCTCCTGACATTAAAGTCAATCCAACCTTTTGGGCTGGGAGGGTGGAGGCGGCTGGGAATTCCCAGGGCACCTGGCGGGCGGATGTGCCACGGGCCTGGGATGGTTGCTTCTGGTGGGCCAAGGGGTGGTGCCTGGTAGGTCTCTCTGTAGCTGCCAGGCCCAACTGCCTTATTAGTATCTGCCTGCTGCCAGCCTGGGCCTGTCTGGTCCACTCCCCATCAGCCCACACACCCTGTTTTTCAGGAATCCCTCCCATGAGGCCCTGACAGTGACAGTGATGGCGATCACTGTCACGTGACCACGATGAGGCTGCTGAAATGACCTGGGAGCCAACTGGCCTGGCCCTGACATGAGGTTGCTGGGTTGAGGCCTCAGTGCTCAGCCCCATCGTGGGTTTTATGGCCAGCACGTATTTCCACATGGGCTCAGCTGTCTGGTGCTGAATGTCCTGTGTTCACAGGTAGGCAGGCAAGAACTCCCGTTCTTGATGTGGCTTCACCCAGCCCTATTCCTGCCACAGGAGCACATACCCCCCAAACCTGGGGCACTCCATCCCTGCAAAGACTAGGGTCCCCTGGGAAGAGACGAGGGACCAGTGGAGTCTCAGGGCTCCTAGTGGGAGGTGGTCACAGGGAGGACCAGGGGCCAGCTCTGCTTACATCCCTGCCCCTCACTGTGGCTTATGCAGTCTCCAGCTAGAAGCCAGCACTGCCCTGACGGCACAGCCCTCTGGCCTGAGCCAGAGTGGTGGCTCTGAGACTGGGGCTCGTGGGGGTGAGGCACTGAGGGCAGTTTGGCCAGAGCTGAAGCCCCCTGTCAAAACCTCCCCAGTGGGACTTCCCTGGCAGTCTAGTGGCTAAGACTGCACTCCCAATGCAGGGGGCCTGGGTTCAATGCCTGGTCAGGGATGATCCCACATGCTGCAACTGAGTTTTTATGCCGCAACGAATGATCCCGCATGCCCAACAAAGACCCCGACAAAATTTTGGCACAGCCAAATTAAACCACCAGAAGATAAAAACCTTCCCCAGAACCACTAGGCCAGGCCAAGAACTCAGGCTGGGGAGTGGCTGGATCCCTCAGGCCATGAACACTATTGGGACACGGAGCACCCACAATGGGGGAGCTGGAACCCTCAGATCTGGGGTGCTGCTGTGGACTTGGCTGGCCCCTGGAGGCGCCCAGCCTCTCCATCTAAAAGGGGGGGCAATATCTTTGCCTACTACTCTAACTCTCAGGGGTGCAGGACAGTCAGGTGGGTTCTACCCTGGATTATCAGAGGGAAGGGCTTCTTCGGCCTAAGCCACTGGGCACAGACTCCCAACCGGCCCCATGCATGGCAGGCAGCAGGAATGGGAGGAATGGAGACTGGCAGCCTGACTGAGGGGCCTGGCTGTAATGCTGACTCCACCAGCAGCCTCCCCACTCTAGGCCTGCTTCCTCCTCTGCAGACTGGGGTACATAGGGAACACCATGCAAGGCAGGAGGAGAAGCGCTTGGGTAGGGTCCAGCCCAGGGCTGAGCACATGTTTCCCCGGCTCAGCCCTCTTGTGCCTGGATAGTGGGGAGAGGGCCCTGGGGGCAGGCGGTGCCCCCTGTGGGAAGGGCTCCTGGAGCAGAGGCTCAGGACTGGGGCTGGTATGCAGCTGCGCTGTGGAGTGTGGGCAGCATGGACTCTGGGCAGAGAGGCTGTGGCGCCAGGAAGGGTGAGAGAGGAGACAGCAACTCTTCTGAACCTGGAGTGGGTGGCTGCCTGAGCTGAGGCTGATGTGGGACGGGGAAGGCCCTGTCCCCAGCCTCATGCCTCGGTGCCCACAGCTGCCCACCTAGCTCCCATGCGGAGGGGCAGGGAGGGACTGGGCATCATCAGGGCCCTGGCACAGCTCAAGCCTGGCCCTCCCTCCAAGTCTCAGCCACACCAGCCCCCTGGACACCCTTCCTTAGCTGTGACTACCATTCAGCTCCCACCCTTTGCTCAGTCTTGGAAGACAGCAGCCCCTGCTCTGACCCTCGGGGAGCCTTTCCCAGCAGGGGGCTCTGAGCCAGGCCTCCTGCCTCCTCAGGGCTCTGCCTGTAGAGCTGTCCAAAGTGGATCCACAGAATGCTAGTCTCACCAAGAGTACCTGGAGAAAGAGGGTCACGTGGTCAGATGTCTGAGAAACTCTGAACTCTGGCCCTGGCTGCAGCGCATCAAGGCTCTGAGAAGTCCTGCAGGAGCGCATCTGGCATCTCCCAAACTCCAGGGGACCACAGCATCCATTGTTTGCATAACGTCCACTCCCAGCCGTCCACGGCACTGCCCTCAGCCTGTCCTTCAGGAGAGAAAATGGCTTTATGTTGCCCAGTGGCTGCTCATACCACATTCTCGTCCCTGGACTTCCCTTCCTGTCTTCAGATGAGAGGCTGAGGCTCATCAAGAGCTGCTCAGAACCCCACGTTCTCCCTGTGATCCACCCCAGGTGCTCTGAGATCTGCTTTTTACCAGCAGGTCCGATGCCGCAGTGGGACCAGAAATCATCCCAGCTTCTGGGGAGGCCAGGATGATTAAATGGGCACTGGACAAGAGCTGAGCCGGATGCCTGGCCACACTTCCCCCAACCAGCGCAGCTCCTGTGGTTTCCAGCTCAAGGCTGCACAGGGAGGCTGCTCCTCTCAGCATGGGGGCTGTGGACAAGGCCCCCTCCCCAAGAGTTGTGTTACCAGCCCTGAGGGGCTTCTAATGAATTCCACATGCAAGTGAGGGCCTCTGAGAGGAAATGGGAAGGGGCTGGGGAGGGGGAGAGGGGCCTGAGAGGGGATTGGAACCATGTGTTTGGAGGAGGAGGACAGGGAGGGAGAAAAGGAGGGAGAGCGGAGGCCAGAGGAGGGAAGACTATCCTCACAAGTCCTGCTGCCCTCCACTCTCAAGGTGACTGCCAGGCTCCCAGCCCCTGCAGGAGGGCCCAGACCAGCAGTCTGTGGGGGTAGAGTGGGGAAGGGTGGCAGCGGCAGGAGAGACCCCTTAGAGGGCCCACTTCTCTCCTTCAGGCAGAAAAAGCCCCAAATCCCTGACCCTCTGGACTGGGGTTCTGAGTCATTAAGAGCAGGATAGAACCAGGTACACGGCAGGCCCATGGGAGCATGAGGAAGCCCCTCCACATCCGGCCAGCAGCAAGGTGCCCATTCAGATCCAGCCCAGCTACCCCGACCCCACCTGAGAGCCCTGGGTGCAGCAAGGCCACTGACCTGTCAGCTCTGTGTTCTAGGCTTGGGGGTGGGCAAGGAGGCCTGGCGTGTGGGTTGGCTGCTTCTCCTGCCCTCCCTGTCCATTCCTGGGCACTCAGATTGGCCTGGTGGCTAGAAGCCTCATAGGAAAAGGCTCTGTAGGATCCATGGTGGCATGTGGAGTGGGGTGTCTAATGAGAGAGACCCGTGGCAGTTAGGAGCCGACAGGAGGGCCTCATGGGGTACAATGGGTCTCCCTCCCAGGAGCACTCGTTGAGCCCCAGGTTTCCAGCGGGCCAACCAGGGCCGGGCCTGCAGTAGGTCTTGTAGCTAGCTGGCCCACAGGAGTGGATGATGGGGGCCCGGCCCTTTAGCTCGCACTTAGAGCCACCTCCCCAGGCCACGCGCTGGAGTCCTGCTGGGATAAAGCCTGTTCTTATAGTGTTGTGGGAATAGTCTCAGCACATCTCTCCAGCACCCCTACAGGCCTCTACTGTTCTTACCCCATGTTGTGGATGGTCAGGCCAAGGCAGAGAGGTGAAGTCAGAACACTCCTGGCAGAAGAGCAGGTGCAAAGGCCCTGGGGTCGGAAACACTAAGGAGGCTGGTGTGGCTGGAGGGGCCTGAGGGGTGGCTGAAGGGTGGTAGGAGATGAGGGCTGGGCAACAGGCAAGCTTGAGTAGGGCCTCCTGGCTGTGGTGAGCATTGTGGCCTGTACTTAAAGGAGGCTGGGGAACTGCTGGAAGGGGTTCAGCAGGGCTGGCATGAGCTAGCTTACAAGTTTTCTTTTTATTATTTATTATTTTTTAATCTTATGGCTTGGCTGACTCTGGCTGCTATGCTGAGAACAGATGGAGTGGGCCAATGGCAGAAGCAGATCAGGCAGGAAAGGAGCAAGCCTCATCTCAGCAGGTCTGGCTGCTCAGGGGGGCTTGCTCCAAGTGCTGGGCAGACTCTCACCTAACCTGCCTCAGACTAAGCCCCAGCCCCTCAAGAGGGGCCTCCAGAGCTGAGGTTCCCCTAAACCAGAAGCAGTTAACCCAACAGAAGACCCTGGGAAGAAATATAGATGGTCAACAGACACATGAAAAGATGTTCAATATCGCTGATTATTAGAGAAATGCAAATCAAAACCACAATGAGATATCCCCTCACAGCAGTCAGAATGGCCATCATCAAAAAGTCTGCAAACAGTAAATGCTGGAGAGGGTGTAGAGACAAGGAAATCCGCCTACACTGTTGGTGGGATTGTGTAGCCATTATGGAACAGGATGGAGGTTCCTCAGAAAACTAAGAATTACCATATGATCCAACAATCCCTCTCTGGGCCTATAGCCAGAAAAAACTATAATTCAAAAAGATACATGCAAACCTATGTTTGGGCCTCCCAGGCGGCTCAGTGGTACAGAATCCACATGCAATGCAGGAAATTCAGGTTCGATCCCTGGGTCAGGAAGATCCCCTGGAGAAGGACATGGCAGCCCACTCCAGTACTCTTGCCTGGAGAACCCCATGGACAGAGGAGCCTGGTGGCTACAGTCCATGGGATTGCAAAGAGTTGGACATGACTCAGCAACTAAACAAATACCACCACCACCTGTGTTCATAGCAGCACTTTTCACAATAGCCAGGACATGGAAACAGCCTAAATGTTCATCAACAGATGAATGGGTAGAGATGTGGTACACATACACAGGGGGCTACTACTCAGCCATAAAAAAGAATGAGGGACTTCCTTGGTGGTCTAACAGCTAACACTCTGTGTTACCAGCACAGGGGGCCTGGGTTCGATCCCTGGTTGGGAAACTAGATCCTACATGCTGCAACTAGAAGACCCCACGTGCCACAAGGCAGACCCGGTGCAGCCAAATAAATAAATACTAGTGAAAAAAGAACGAAATGATGCTGTGTGCAGCTACATGAACACAGAGGTTATCATACCATGTGAAGTTAAGTCAGAGAAAGACAAATACCACATGATGTCACTTCTATGTGGAATCTACAATATGACACAAATGAACCAACCTATCAAACAGAACCATGGACATACAGAACCAAGCAGTGGCTGCCAAGGGGGATGGGGCTGGGGTTAGCAGATGTAAGCTTTTATATATAGAATGGATAAACAATGAGGTCCTACTGTAGCACACAGAATTATATTCAATATCCCTTGATAAACCACAATGGAAAAAAAGAACATATATAACTGAATCACTTTGCTATACAGCTGAACTTAACATTATAAATCAACTATACTTCATTAAGAAAATATTAGAACTGGAAAAAAAAAAGGTGACTTTGGGATATGTTTCAAAGGGCATGGGCATCCTTGTGGAAACCTCACAAATGGCCCTATTCCTCAGCACATCCCAACTGAGGGCGAACTGGACCCAACCTCAGAACCAAGGCCACCCTGGGAGCAAAGGCTAACTTCACAGTTGGGGCCAAGAAGTTCCACTGCAGCAGCCCAGACTCTGGCCAGCCCAGGCCTCCACGACAGGAAGCACTTTCTGTTTCTAGTTAACAGGCACATGAGATGCTGCCTGAAGGGTCCGGGAAGACTAATTACGTTGCTTCTCCTGCTCCAAGTCCCAGAGGCTTCTAGGAGAGCCAATCCAGGAGCAGCTGTCATGGAGAACAATTCTGGGGGCTGAGCTGAGGGGGTGCTGGCCCTGGGGAGCATGATCAGCACTCCCAGCCCCACCCTGGGCATGAGGGTATGTCCTTGGGTGACTCTGGCTGGGGTCAGTTTGACGGGCTCAGAGCAGAGGTGGGTGGGGCATCATAGGAGCTTCCGGGGGAGCTGGCTGGTTCCAGAGACCTGCCAGGTCAAGGGACGTCATTGGGCTGAGCCTAGCTGGGGAAAGGCAGGGGCAGGGCAGAGGTCTGGAGGAGAGGCCAGTTGAGCAGAGCACCTGCAGGGCACTGGTGCCCTCGGCCAGGCCTGAGACCAGAACAACATGGACTGGGTGAACGTGGGCTCCAGGTGCCTGGGGATGGCCACAGTTCCGCAGTCGGTCTCCACTCCAGAGCTGATGCTGGGTGCCTAGCTGGAGAAGGATGGAGGCCAGGAGCTGACATCAGTGTGTGTGGCTGAGTGGCACCACAACCCCAGCTGGCTCCTGCAGGCCAGGCCTCTGCACACTGAGCATCCAAGAGAGAGTCAAAGTCCCACTTTCAGAAGCAAGTATTTGTGCCTGCAAGAGCGACTTCGGACTGAGAAACGGAAGCTGCAGGAGGACAGGACTTCCGCTCCTGCCCAGAGCCCTCATCTAGCAGTGTTCAGGTTTCTCACGGGTGGTAGGAAAGAGTGGGGGGCAGAGGTCTAGGTTCCTGTCACAAGCACGCCCAGGCATAGTGGGGGTTCAAGGTGGCCTCACCTGAATTGAAACCCTGCTCAGCCTTGCTCTATAAATAGGTTCTTGGGAGAGTGTTTCCACACAGCAGCTCCCAGCCGGAGGAGGCGCTGGCACAGAAAGCTTCCTAATGGCTTCGCCCCAGGCTGTCTGGCCCGGCTCCAGTCTCATCCATGAGCCTGGATATGAGGGCCCCATGCTCTGGGCCTCTAGAGAGACTTCCCCAGAGCAACTGAGAGTGAGCCCGGGGTGCTAGGGTGACAGCTGGGGTGGGCTGGAGCCCACCCAACAATGGGACTCGCCTGGTGTCAGGGTGGCGATGCTCACAGGAAGTGAGCTCAGGCCTTCAGTCTGCCGCTGCTGCTTTGGCAACACGGTTCCCTCTTTCGCAGCCTGGAGCAGGGTGGGGTGGAGGGGGTGCTTGGAAAAAACTCTGGGGCTGATGTCTGTGCCCCTTAAATGACCACACACCCATGAAAGCTGAAGCCATCAGGGGCTCATCTTGAGCAGATCATTTAGGAAGGCGAGGTTAATGACGAGGAGCCGGGACAGTGTGACTCACCACCCTCGTGCCGGCTCAGCGGGCTGGGTTTCCGGGATTCCCGGCAATCACAAACGCCCACCCCCAAGCCTGCGCTGGCCCTAGTGGCGGCCTTGAAGGGCCTGCCTTCTCGGGTGGGGGTGGGGGGGCTGTCTGTCAGCCCAGCTCTCAAACCACCACTGGGGATGCCCATGGCAGCGGTCATGGGGTC